TCTGTATCCTCTTTCATTGTATAATCTCTTCAATCAGTTTATCTGCCAGATTCTTGGATTGACGGGGCATTGGCTTAGTCTGTGCAACCAGTTGAGCAGCCCATTCCTCTCTTAGAATATCTTCAGTGATATCTAAATCTGCCAGCTCATCTAAAACATCAAGAGCTTCTGACTTGCGTGTATTCATGGAAACCCATTTACGTCTGAGCCAATCTCCAAGATTCAATAGTGACTTCTTATCCAGATGCTTCACTTGAGTATCCAAGGTATAGAGGCGGTTATAGTATCCAGTAACTCTCAAGGATGGGATGAGCAGTTTAATTGAGCTCCAAAAGCGCTCACAGCCCTCGCCATCTGTAAGTCCAAAGCCTATACACTTTCTTGGGTGATAAACGAGCTGGCAAGCCCATTGATGGCCATAAGCATGAAAAACCGATATAGCCCAGATGAGTCTATCATGAAAGTCTTTCAGAAAGCCCCACTTAATACAACTACGATGAAGCTGACAGCCAATATCATAGAGCACACCCACTCTGGCAGTCGAGGGTAAATGGTTGAATAAACATTCTAAAAGAACCAGAGCATAGTGTTGCTTCTCTCCTGCAGAAGTCATGTTTACCAGCCATAAGACACGATCATGTCGACAGAGAAGAGCCATGAGTCCAGTATCAGAAAAGAACTGAGTGCTAGCTTTTACTCATTTTTCATCTGCAGCAGTAAAAGAGTCTCCACACATGTTCAGCACAGAGTTTGGAACTTTGAGTCCAGGCTCACACAAGTCAGGATTTTCATCCTTCTGAGGCTGTAGAGGACTATCTTCAGACTTTTTACCTTTTGACTTGGACTTTGGCTCTGGGCGAATTTCATTGACTACATCCTCCATGGCCTTGACATCTTCTGAGGCAACGAATGCTGTATCTGGATGTGTCCGAGGCGCAGGTGCCTCTTTACCCTGAGCCTTGCATGACTTCTGCTTGAAACAAGCACTTCAGTCACCCACCTTGAACAAGCTATTAGCCTTGAAACATATAGGTATATATCCAGGCTAATAGGTTCCTTGGCCATTTATTTTTTTGCCTCTGGAGGAAAATATATTATTGCATTGGGCAAAAATGTTTGACCTTCAATATTGTGACCGGAAATATTTGGGTTGATATTTTGCATTGAAAAATATCCTAGCCATCTGAAAGTGGTTGGAAATGTTTGAAGCATGTTAGAGCAAGCAGAAGTTGATGTTGAGTTTTTGGAAGCACTTCAGTCACCCACCTTGAACAAGCTATTAGCCTTGAAACATATAGGTATATATCCAGTCTAATAGGTTCCTTGGCCATTTATTTTTTTGCCTCTGGAGGAAAATATATTATTGCATTGGGCAAAAATGTTTGACCTTCAATATTGTGACCGGAAATATTTGGGTTGATATATTGCATTGAAAAATATCCTAGCCATCTGAAAGTGGTTGGAAATATTTGAAGTGTTTCAGACTGGTCGGAAATGTTTGAAGCATGTTAGAGTGGTCGGAAATATTTGAAGTGTTTCAGACTGGTCGGAAATGTTTTAGCCATGTCACACTGCTGAAAAATCTTTTGGTCATGTCACACTGCTAAGAAATGTTTGAGCCATGTCACACTGCTGAAAAATGTTTTGACCATGTCACACTGCTCGGAAATGTTTTAGCCATGTCACACAGGCAAAAAATTTCCTGCCAGTGTCACAGAGTATCTGGGGTCCTAGTTTCAAAAAAAAAACTTCAAAAATTTCTGACCATTCAAACTTTTATCTTCTGGATTCAACTTTTCTACAAAATTTATCATAAAGATAATTTTGGTCCTAAACTTGCCCTTTAACTTTTATATTGTATTTTTATTATAGAAACAGCAGATTATATATTGCATGCAACTGTATCTATTGGTATTCAGCTATT